ACTGAACGTGAGCTTGGGCATCTGCTGTAGAGCCCACAGTACTCAGTGTGAGCTTGTGCATCTGTGGGCATGTGTGTGCACTACTCTGATGAGACAGTGCTTCATTTTTCCACTTCTCCATGAGGTCTGTGGCCAACAGACATGAAGCGCTTTGCTCTGCTGCTGCTTGCTTCTCTCCAAAGCTCTTGCCTTTTTGGTGTATGAGCGTGTGTATTTCATATTTTTGACCAATGAGGAAAAAAGCTTCAGTTGATTGTGAGTGTGCCATTAACCCCTCTAGTTTACCACCAGTGAATCTTCCTAAAAAAAGAGGGTGATTCTAGGATAGGAGGCCATCATCCAATCTTCAGGCCATAGCTGTGCGAGCCATCAGACCACATTAAGAGGAGGGAGTGTGAGGACCTGCAGGACCTCCAGCTGCTTTATTTAAGTGGTGTTTCATGTCACCCTGCCCACCTCAAAGGCTGCCACCTGGACACCTTCAAATCTCATCCATGTCAGTGATAGTGAGCCCCCACCCTCAACCTGCTACCAGCCAAGACCTGCCAGGCTCCGGAATTCAGCCTTTCTCCTCTGAACTCTATCAGCATTCTTTGCCACGTCGTCATTTCAGCAATTCCTTTGTCTCATCTTCTAGATGAGCACATAACACATCCCTGATAATTTGCACATTAGGAATGGAAGCCTTCTGCTCAGCAAGCTGAGCACCCCTCATGATGCCGGGCCCCGGGCAGCAACCTGCCCTCTTTATCCTGCTGCAAAGGAAAGGAAAGGACAGGTGGCAGGCCTGCCTCGGGCCCAACCCCATCTTTCTCCCTGTTGAATGGGAAGCAACAGTAGGCTGAAGACAAACAGCAGAAACAACCATGTCTCGTCCGTCTGTCTGTCTGTCTGTCTGTCTGTCTGTCTGAGCCATGTTTTCACTATGTTACTGATCCCCGGGACGTATCTTTCACCCCAGGTGTTTTTCATGTAGACAGTAGGCTGGTGCCAATTCATCTTTTAAACGGAGACTGATCTATGCCCTCAATACTGGGACCAGTGAATTTGAGAATGTGAGTTCTTCCCCAGAGACACCTTCCCAGTGATCTGGAAATCCTACCCCAGGGGTTGCTCAAGCCTCAGAAACTCTGTTTTCTGTAGGACAAATTGATACATATTTAGTCTGATGCATGGTCTGGCAATGGAACAGTCAGGAGTCGCAGAAAATCCCTCCCCACGGATGTAAGGAAGCTGTGGGGATAGGAAGGCTATGCGAGCAGGGGCAGGCAGCTACTTCTCACTGGCAAAGTGTGTTCAACTTAAGTGCACACGCACACAAACACACGTGCACAGAAGCAACCATGCAACTCCATGGCCCCTTGCCTTTCCCTCCAGGAAGTACCGATGTGTCATACGAACAGTAAGCTTCATTCATTCACTGAACAAAATGTTTGCTCATCACCTACTTTGGGCCAGGCACTGTTCTAAGCTCTAAGGATATAAATGTAACAGATGGGTTCCCTCTCCCATGGCCTCACATTCTGGCGAGGGCAAATAGACAATAAGCAAAGAAGTAATTATTCTTTGAGAGTGATGAGGGATAGAGCGGTGGCCAGGGGAGATGTGAGGTCTGAAGGAGCTGAAGGGGTGAGCCCCACTGACGTCTGCTGAAGACGGACAGCAGCACGGCCTTGGCCTTGGCCTTGGCCAGGCAGGAGCGTGTGTGGGAGCTGGAGAAAGAGTGAGGGGGCCCGAGGGAGGGGAGTGCAGCTGGCTGGTCGCTGAGGCTCTGGGGCCAGAATCTCCCAGGCCTTTGGGAGAACTCTGGCTTTGACCCAGAGGAGAAGGGGAGGTGATTGAAGCAAGACTGAGGCTTCGTGGGTCTCACCTCATAGCAACACCTGCTGCTCCTGCAGCCTGGAGAGCAGCTGCCCGGAGCGGGGGTCCAGGCAGTGAGGATGAGAGGCGGTGGGAAGTGGCCAAAGTCAGGACTCATTTTGAAGATGGCGCAGAAGGATTTGCTGATGCAGAGCGTGAGAGAGTCAGGAAGATGACTCCAAGGACTTTGCTTTGAGCCAAAAGCTATGGTTCTCGTTTCCTGGAGATGGGGAAGGTGATAGGTGGGAAGCAGGAGCTCCGTCAGAGCACGAACCCCGGTGTTGTGCAGCTCAGACTTTCCCAGACACCCCAGGGGTTGAGGGAGGCAGGGGCGGCAGGGAGAGTGGGCGGAGGGTGCTCCTCCAGACCCAGCTCTGTGTCCACATGCGCGTCCTTGCCTTTGGCCGTCGCTCTGGGAGATCCCTGCCAGTTTCCATGCTCCATCTCCGCCTTCCCAGGAGCGTTCTCCCCTCTTAGAGACTGGATCTCTTCCTGGCCCACAGCTGCCTCCTCCCTGGAGCCCCAGGCATTCCAAGGGGCTCCCAAGTCAGGAGGGCCCCGCCCCCGCAGCTGCCCTTCATCTGGGGCCTCCCCCAGACTTTCTTGCTGATGGCACCTGGCCCTCTCCTTCTGCAGCCATGACCTGTTTGTCAAGCTCTCGTTGGTCCCCATGGCTGTCAGACATACCTGAGTCTCAGGTATAATCCCAGTTGGAGTTATTTCCCACATGCCTCTTTACTTCATGAAAATGAAGGCTTCAACCTTCCATGGCCATTAAGGGTTTTCCAGAATCTTCCATGACGGTTGAGCATACCAAGGATCTCTAGAGGATTTGTGACTTCAGCACACATGCAGACACTCTTCCCTCGGATACAGCTGGAAATTCTTGTTATAAATATGCTTAAAGTTGCTGGTTCCCAACTCCCAGTGTATTGGCAAGTGTTGAACTGGCTGCGTGAGGATTACCCCAGCCCCAGAGTCAGAGATTAGGGTTTCACAGTGCAAGGGAGGGACCTGGAATCAGGATGTAGGAAATGCTAACACACCCCACTGGTATTTTTGTTGTTGTGTTGTTCTATTATTATTAATTAATTAATTAATATTTTAGGACAGGGTCTCACTCTGTCACCCAGGATGAAGGGCAGTGGTGCAATCATAGCTCACTGCAGCCTCGAACTCCTGGGCTCAAGTGATCCTCCCATCTCAGTCTCCCCAGTAGGCGGGACTACAGGCATGTGCCACCACACCCAGCTAATTTTTTAAAATTTGTTAAAGATGAGGTCTCACAGTGCTGCCCAAGATGGTCTCGAACTCCTGGCCTCAAGCAGTCCTCCTGCCTTGACCTCCTAAAGTGCCAATCCTCCCAAAGGGGGTTACAGGCATGAGCCACCACCGTGCCCAGCCCACCTCCGTGCCCAGCCACCTCTACTGGTGTTGATCACCAGGCAGGCTTGGGAAAACTGCTTTAGCTGTAAGAGGGGAGGGTGTCCTACCCCCAGAGAGGTTCTCTTACTTTTTTCTTTAAGCAGATCACTACAGCCTCTAGCCTGCAGGGGCTCCAGGCAGTCCATCACACATAGTGGGTTGTACAGAATTTATTTAAGGACAGAGATGGGGAAGATGGAGGGGGAAAAAACCCTGCCATCTTCTGCCGTCTAAAATTTAGAGCCTATTTTGGTGAGATAAGACTGTATAGAACAGATACAAATAAACGTATATTAATGTTCTGCAACAGAGGGGGTATGGCTGGCAGGCAAAATAGAAGTGAGGAAAAGCTGGATTTGTGGAGGCCAAAGGTGCCCTCGAGGCTGCAGGTGGGTGAAAAGTTCATGTTGCCATCCAAACTATGACCCCTCTGCTTCTGTCCCTTGGTATGGAACCATTCTCTGCAGAGATGAGCCCAGGCTGTGGCTGCAGTGGGAGTGGCTTGCATGTCACTCACAGAAGGAGCAAAAGCAATCCACTGTCTGGATTGGTGATGAGCTGGGAATCTCTCAAGGTAGTGACCTAGGAGGCAGGTGGGCCAGAGGGGGCCAGAGGGAAATGAGATTGTCCTGTTCTTGCCCTTGCTCCCTTCGGGGCCGTGTCCTTTTGCTATGGTGCACTTCCTGATCCTGAGCGGACCCTCACCCAGGCGCCCACCCAACATCCGGCAGTCATTAGTAGGTTTCCCCTCCCACTTTTTCATGAGAAAGGGATTTTGCCAGGATCTCTGTATTTATAGTGGAGAGAGGCCCCAGGACTGTAAGGAGTGGGGACTTCCTCCCCAGGGATCCCACTGAAAGCCCATGTCCACTCAGGACCGAGCTCCTGCCCACTCAGAGGACTCGTGCTTTGAGCTGCCCCAGTGGGTGTGACAGGTTTGCTACAATCTAGGATTTCCCAAACTCACCTGCTGATCAGAATCCTGTAGGACGCTCGTTAAAAACAAAGATATCTGGGCCCCAAACTACAGTTAATGAATCAGAATCTCAAGAGCAAAGGCCCTTGAAAAAACAATTCTTAGGACGCGGTCAACTTGGGAAACTTCACCGAGCCATGAACTCTCTCTTACCCTTGGGTGACCTAATTCCTGCCTCTGCTAGAAAGCTGCTGCCTAGGCTGAGCTCAGACAGGCATTCATGGGGAAAAATAAAAATAAAAATAAAAAAATAAAGCTTTCCTTCTGTTTAGAGACCAACAGCGACAACAATAATTACCAACCTTTATCAACTGTGTGCCAAGCACTCTCCAGGGGGCTCTTTGGGGAAAGGTGGATCGTGTCACACAATTCTGCCAATAGCCTAATGAGGCAAGGGCTACAGCTGTCTCCATTTTTTCAGATGGGGGTGCAGAAGGCAGGGAAGTGAAATGTCTTGCCAGAGGCACATGTAGCAGGTAACCGGCAGAGCTAGGTCACGGGCTTCTGACCACTGCCCCCGTCTCTTCCCCAACAGATTAGTCATCCTGGCACCTCGAATTAACTCCCTCCAGGGTGGCAACTCACACTACCACCACCACCCCTCCCCCCAGACAGGGAAAAAAAAAGAGCATAGAGTGGCAGCTCCTCTGAGAACCTGCAGTGGGCAGTTGTGAGAATGAGGCACAATGGGGAGGACAGCAAGGGGCAGGGTGCTGACCTCCCTCCTGTTGGCTCTCAGGTACTGGAACTCCTTGAGCAACCTGGTGGCATCCTTGCTGAACTCTGTGCGCTCCATCGCCTCCCTGCTCCTTCTCCTGTTCCTCTTCATCATCATCTTCTCCCTCCTGGGGATGCAGCTCTTTGGAGGAAAGTTCAACTTTGATGAGATGCAGACCCGGAGGAGCACATTTGATAACTTCCCCCAGTCCCTCCTCACTGTGTTTCAGGTACGGACTCTTCTCTCCTGGGATTCGGACTCGGGGTGGTTGAGTGGCAGGGTGGTGGGGGGAGTATGGAAAACTGCACCCTTTCACCAGGCAGCCACAGCCAGCCTAGATCAGCCCTGGAGAGCCCATGCCTGCGAGAGTCTTGAGTTTTTTCTATAGTTTCCCCTGTCCCCATCTGCTGTGGAATTCCACTAGTGGGTGGACCATTAGGGGAAACAATCTAAGTGGTTTAAAAATGCCTTCTCAGGGGAATCTCTTGAACTCAGGAGGTGGAGGTTGCAGTGAGCTGAGATCCCGCCCCCACTGCACACTCTAGCCTAGGCGACAGAGCAAGACTCTGTCTCAAAAAAAAAAGAAAAGAAAAAAAAAGAAAGCCTTCTTATCATGGAATCCTTTACTCAAATTCTCCATGAAAGCCCAAAACATAAACAAAGAAAAGCAGACTGATCTTATTGAGCGGGGGAGAGGGTGACGAAACCCTGGCTTTCCTACCCACCATGCTTGTCCCTGGAAAAAAATATTACTGGCCCATCAAATTTGTGATTTCATAGATATTTTGGCTTAGGGCAAACTCAGAGTGGCATCTACTTAAGTTCAAAAGTAGATGGAGGCAAAAATGAATCACATGTAGATGCTATGAAAATCTTCAAGTGACGAATGTTTGGGGAAAGCTGGTGTAGCATGTGGCTGTCTCAGCAAACACACAACTGCACAAGGACCCTGATGCCTTACCCCCAGGAATAGCTGATGGTCAGCTCAAGCATGTGTGGAGAAAGTCAGAGATCTTTGGGCCAAAAAGCCTTTTTAGTCACCCTTCAAATCCTATTATGCCAGTGGCCAGGCCTTTTGTGTAAGGACAGTGGAATAGCTCAGAGCCCCCAGGGGAGGAGGATCGGGGGCCAGGAGGAGGGAGAGGAGTGAAAGGAAATTTTGGACAATTCTGTTGACGTAGTGGGGCAGGGCAGGGTGGTTTCGGGTTTGCTGTTGGTCTAACGCTGTGTCCCTTATTGGTGGGAATGTGTCATTCAGATCCTGACCGGGGAGGACTGGAATTCGGTGATGTATGATGGGATCATGGCTTATGGCGGCCCCTCTTTTCCAGGGATGTTAGTCTGTATTTACTTCATCATCCTCTTCATCTGTGGAAACTGTATCCTTTGCTGCTGCCCCCCTACCCCTGCGGCCCCCAGCCCCCAGCCTGCAGCACAGTGCCAAGCAGGCACGTCCCCGCAGGTCCGGGCGGTCCCGCTCGGGCTCACACCACCCAGCCTAGAACCCCATGGCGGCGGAAGTGGGTCTGGGTGGAAACCTGCAGCTTTGCCATAGGTGAGGTTCACCTTCCGGAACCCTTCCGGGCGTGCGCTCGGCGTCCTGTAGGTGAGCGACGCCCCCTGGCGTTGCGGCGTGCGCTGCGCAGCCTCTCACACGGGCTGCGGTAGGGACACGGGCCGGCTGCCCTGGGGCCGCTGCGTCCGCGCAGAGGCGGGGCGCTCTGTAAGGGAGGGTGAGCCGTTGTCCTTCAGATGACCTTCAGCTCCCCTCCTGCTTTTTGGTCAGCACCCCTCCCTCTGATGCTGCTCTCCAGGACTGGAGTCACAGGCAGAGCTGCCCAGACTTCACACAGCCCTAAAAGCTCCTTCCTGATCCTGGCTCGGGGGTGGGGTTTCCAGGGTCACAAACCACAGGTGCTGCTTCTCTTCCCCAGCTCACCACCCTGAGAGAGTCACGTCCAGAGTCAGGGGTAACATGGGAACAGCACTGGGCCAAGTCCCAGTTAAGGCAGTGCAGAGAACACAGTCATGGAAGCCTGCAGACAAGGTTTCCTCTTTTCCCAGCTGGGTGACCTCTCCTCTACCTCAGTGTCTGTAAAATGTGGCGATGGAATCATAGAACCTACTACGTAAAGGGTCGTGGGGAGTTTTAATGGGATCATGCATGCAAAGCCCCTACCACATTCAGACGCCTCTCTGGACAAGCCCCTCTTCCCCTGCCTGGGTTGCGGCTTCCCTGTGCGTGAAATGATAGGAATGTCTGGGTGCCTGGGGCTGGGGGTCAGACTTCACAAACTGAAAGCCCCCTTCCAGCTATGCCTTCTTTGATTCTGCACTTCTCTGACCCACAGCGTTTCTGTTGGTGGAGTGGGGTGGGGAGAAAGGGCAAAGAACTGTCTCCATTGGGAACTCCCGAGCCTTGGCTGGCTCCAGCCGGACCCTCCAAGGGTCTTTGTGTGTGCAGGCTCACATTAAGAGTTGGCAGAGATGCCAAGCCACCCCCTCAGTGCCTAGTTATAATAAACCGCTCTTAAGAGCATTCTGCATCCTGCTAGAGACAATGCTGTTTATAATGTCAATTACAGCCAGTCATCTCAGCGGGGAAACCAATCATGAAACCCAGCAATTAAAGTGCAAGGCAGGGCTTGCTGCCTCACTCCCGCCCGCTCCAGTGTGCAGGCTAGCCTGTTCTCATACCAGGTAGCTAGGAGGGTGATGGGGAGCAAGGGGAGGGGAGTAACACTGTTGGGGTCTGATTCCCTCAGAGTGACTCACTGTCCAGCTCTCTCTGCTGAGGAGCTCTGCCTTGCACGTCCTACACCCCCCGCCCCCTGTGCCCACCAAAACCCCAAGCCAAGGGTCATTTTCTTTAAGAATGGACACAAACAGATATCCTACTGAATGTGTTCTTGGCCATTGCTGTGGACAACCTGGCTGACGCTGAGAGCCTCACATCTGCCCAAAAGGAAGAGGAAGAGGAGAAGGAGAGAAAGAAGCTGGCCAGGTAACCCTCTAAGCTTGCCCAGGCCTGGGGCTCCAGGACTCCCATTCTGGAATGTCATCCCACTGGTGGCAGAGAGAGGCTTGACTGCCAGGCTGTGTTGGCTGTCCCTCCTAGGAGGACTGTGGGTTTGGGGCTTCCTAGGTTGGGCCTTTCTCCTAATTCCTAAGCATCGCTCTGGTAGGGACCATGGTGAATTATAATAGTCTCTACAATGGTGTCATATTCTCCACCTGTTGGGATTATCTTTTGAGAAGCTGTGATAGGTGGCGAGAGTGTAGGGTGGGGAGAGAGAAAGGCAACCACTCAGTTGGGAAACCCAACTCCAGCTTACGGAGGGAGTCCTCCTCACTACTTTACGATTCATCTCCAGTGTTAGGAAGGCAAGACGGGGCCCTGTGTTGTATCCTATCATTGTCTAGACGGGACAGTTCCAGGCCACACAGCTGTCAGGCACTGAGCAGAGCTCCTCCAGGAGCCAATCCTAGAGAAGATCCGCCATCCTTTTCTGCTTTGGCGGCCCAGGCATCTCTGGAGCTGCAAGAGGCCAATTGCGTGTCAGGCAGAGCAGGTGTGGCTCAGCCCCGTAGCGCTTGTGACTGATCTGTACACGAGAAGTGCCCTGGAAAAAGGAAGATGGATTCAGACCCAGGGAGCCCCCACTGGCCCCAAAAGGCCACAGGGCGGTTCCCTCCTACACTGTTCCCTATCACTCCAGTAAACAGCCATTTATTTTTTCTGCTGCTGACTGGCCAGGACTGCCAGCCCAGAGAAGAAACAAGAGATGGTGGAGAAGCCGGCAGTGGAGGAATCCAAGGAGGAGAAGATTGAGCTGAAATCCATCACGGCTGACGGAGAGTCTCCACCCACCACCAAGGTGAGGCGCTGTCTCCTTCCTGGAGCTGTGAGGCTGGTGCTGGGGAGGGAGGGCCACAGCCTTCCCCGGCCAGACCCCATGGAGAATAAGAGAGAAAGAAGGACACCCAGTGGAAAGAAAGCCAGTGGGGATGAACAGGAGAGCCGGGAGGAGGAAGAGAAGGCAGATTGGCTGGATCCCAGCCATCTGCTGATGTCTTGAAGGGGATATGCAAAGTGACAAGGACCTATTTTCGAGCGAAGTCACTGACTAAAATGCAACTTCAAGGCTACTGCAAGCCTCTTAACTTGTGGACATATCTAACTGAATTCTTCCTCCTTCTCCCCTGTGACTGTCTAGATCAACATGGATGACCTCCAGCCCAATGAAAATGAGGATAAGAGCCCCTACCCCAACCCAGAGACGACAGGTACCAGTCCCACTGCCTAACCTGGGGTTGGGAGACTGGGGGCAGAGATCTAAATCCTAAAGCCACGTGGGAGTGGCCGTGTATTGGGGACCATGGTTCCGGTGTCCCTCCATAAGTACCTTGCACTGCTGAGTGTCTTCCGTCTCTATATTTAAGCATCATCAGTCAGCATCTGGGAGACAGCTTTGTTTCTGGTTTCCTCATAATGAGATCACATTTGAGCAGTGCTTTTGTGTCCTTTCCAAGCTGGATTCTGTGTACATTTAAATTTTTGTTACATTACATGTTGTAAAATCATTATTAATTTATATAATGTATTAGTATGGCATATGTTGCAACATTATGCTCACTTAATATTAATAGTAAATCCCAAATCTGCCTTGCCCCTACTCAGGAGGCAGTGCCGAGTGCAGGGACAGCTGCCACCACAGATGTCCCACTTGTTGCTTTAGAAAATGATTTCAGGTCTCATTATAAAAGGCGCTCTTACTGACTCCATCTTCCTGTGCTTCTATCTGATACATAAATTGGCAGGCAATCTGCTTCTCAAGGGCTTTACTGTCAGAGGTCAGTGGTCTTCCCTCCAGGCTTCACTTCCCAGCTTCCTGAAATCCCATGCCCTGTCCAAGGCCTTGGCTTACCTTCCTCTGACCTAGAATTGCAGATACCATCGCCAGTTTCAAGCTTGAAGTTAATAACATGTATCAAGGGACTGTTGATTCTACTGACATTTCCTTGTTCCTGTAGGTTAGGCTGTATTTGGGTTGTTCACCAAGTTAGGTGGCTGAGAACCTCCTACATTTATGAGCAAAGCTCGGTTTCCCCTTTTGCTTTCCCTCCGCTGGTTCTCTGCTTAGAACACTCACAGGCATCTTCTGTTGTCCTTGGGAACCAGACTCCCTGTGGTCACACCATCCTCACTCCCCTCCTCCTGCAAGGGAATAGGATGTGGTTTCCTGGAGCTTGGATAGAAAGAACAGGAAGGGTGTTTTCATGTGCAGGGCATTAAATAGCCTTTGAAGTTCTTAAAAACCCTTCTAGGTTGAAACTGTTAGGGAATTTCAACGACGTACTAGAATTATTGAACAAATGCAATGGGAGGATCTTGTCTTGATCCTGAAGCAACAAATACACTTTAAAATGACATTTTAGAGGTAATTGGGGGAAATTGAATATGGACTTGGAACTAAATGATTTAAAGTAATTTTGTTAATCTTGTTGGTATAATATTTTGTAGTTCTGTTTTCAAACTGCTGCCGTGTTTATAGCCAGAGTCTAAAATGTTTACGAGTTGCTTTGCTTTTGAAATATTCCAACAACAAAAAAATGGGACAGAGAAGATAAATGGAACAAGATCAGCAAAATGTCCAAAGTTGTTGAAGCTGGTTTTATACATGAGCTTTAGTATGCAAGACTCTACTCTTGCGTGAATCTTTAAGGTTTAAAATGAAAGACAGTAATAAAACAAATTCCTTAGGGCCCTGAGAAGGGCCCTCCCATGGGGCCAGCCTCCAGGATGGGCCTCCCTGCACACACCACAAGGCAGATCTGGTATGAGGGTCTTTTCACACAGGTACCCAGCTGCAGCCAGGCCTGTACGGCAGATACACCTCTTGCATCTTCAACAAAAATCTCAAATTCTATTATTCTAAATACTGTACTCTTGGCTTTTCTCTGTCGCTCTAATGAAATCAAAGAGAAGAATGTTTAAAAAAAAAAAAAAAAAAAAGGGCTAATAAGGATTTTGTCACCACGTTGACCATCCTAGAAATGCCTCTAACGTAGCTACCCGGTGGCTCTGAGGACCGGGGGATGCTTACACTTTCCAGCTGAAAAGCTCTTCCTCCCCTCCGCTGAGGCCTCAGGATTCTTGAGATTTTTGAGCGTGTGTCCCGCTCCCCGTCATTTCTGCTGGTTACATGTGTCTCTTTACTTTTGTGTTGAAACCTCTGGTCCATACCCTGACTGCCCCGCCACACACACCAGCCACCACTGTGGCCTCTGAAGCCAGCCCCAAGCATGCCCATTTGTACACTATCCCCGGTCTCCAGGTCCTCATCCAGGAGGTCCAAAGGGCAGTATGCTCTTAAAGCTGGTGGCCCCACACATCGCCCTGCCCCTAAAGGCTAAATCAGCCTGTCCTTCCTAGCTCCTCCCACCTTCCCATTTCCTCCCTTCCCTGCCTGCCCAGTCAGCTCCTGGATCCTTTAGTGCCAGGTGCAGCAGAAGTTCCCAGAGACTCCTCCGAAGATCACGTGGCCTGTTGTCTCTGTTCTGGTCAATCTCTGGTTCCCTCCTGCTTCTCTTCTCCCAAACCATGAATGGCGAAGAGCCTGATCTACCATTGTGCTCCCAACCGCTGTCCCTTCCAGGCCGCTGGCCCCTGCCATGCCTGGTTCGTGCAGGTACCCCTTAGCAGGCAGCACTGGTGAGCGTTCCTCCTGCTCTGCCTTCAGCCGGGCCACTAGGGAGAAAGGGCCAGTGCCAGGGAGCACACTGCCATGCTCTTCTGCTGCCTCCCCATCTCTCTCTTGCCCTGTCTCCTAGGCTCGCCCCCTGCCCTCTCCCTCCCTCCTGGGCTGTCCAGATTGCTCCCAAAGCGATGTATCAGAGTGGCCAAGTGGGAGCTGGACTCCGGAGTGCACTCTGCTGGCTGCAGCTTCAGTTGCCCTCACATGACCATGAATACTCAGAGGAGGGGCCTGTTTCTAATTCAACAAGGAGCCATCGAGGCCAGCCATAGCCCTAGAATCCTTCCCTCTCTGTTTCATCTGAAAAGCTCGCCAGCCTGTTTCAGCCTCCCAGATCGGTATACCCTAATTATAGAGAAAAACCCCAACTCACTGGAAAGAAAATCATTGTGCCCAGATGAGTGGAAGCTAATTCTACTTTTGTTTAATTTATCAATTTATTTGAGTGAGCGTGTAGATGTTTGCAAGAGCCACTAAGGACTTAAAGTTAACAGGTACACATTTGAAAAAGGAGTGCCACCAGACACTGAGTAGTCAGCAGCGCCTGTGCTGGGGGAGCCTTTCATTGTTGCAAGGGGTTCAAGGTCAAGGAGAGCCATGAGGTCGTGGAGTCTGGGGGCTTCATGCAGAAGGGTGGTCTTGACTGAGCTTTGAATCGGGGAGTTGGAGAGGCTGAAGGAGTTTTTTCAGCATCGTACAATCATCAGAGATGCTAGGAGTTGGGAGGAACCTTGTAGATATTCATAAACTACCCATGAAGCACTTACTTGTGTGCCAGGCACTGTGCTAGGTCCCAGGGACATGGGGGTCCCTGTGGTGGGCAAACAGGGAAGACCCCCACCCTCCTGGAGCTGACATATCAGTGGGGAGACAGGCAGCAGGCAAACCAACCAAAAAGGTGACATCACATGATGTGAAGATAGTGAAATCAAGGATTGTGTTAGGGGATACTCAGGGGTCAGGCTGCTTTGACTGTGTTGTCAGCAAAGGCTTCTCTGAGGACACAGCGTTTGACTGGAGCCTGAATGATTCAAAGGAACTAGACACGGAATCAGAGCGAAGAGCTCTCCAGGTGGACAGCCTGAGTGCAGAATCTCTCACGGGGAATGCACTGGCTGTGGGGACTCCAAAGAGGGCCAGTGTGCCTGAAGCAGAGAGAACCAAGGGATAGTGCCCTGAGCAGGAGGCTGGGGCAGGGCAGGAGGGCAGGGCAGAAGGTGCAGGGCCACACGGGAGACTGGGTCTGATCCAGTGCCCTGGAGGGCTGCCAGAACGTCTGAGCAGAGGAGGCCCTGACCTGATGTCTGACACACCCTTTCGGAGATTCCCTCTGGGTGCTGTGTGGATAAAGAGCGGTGGCGGTCGAGAGCAGAACTGGGGCAGGGAGGACACTTGCGCAGTATCCAGGCAGAGAAGATGGCAGCTTGGGCAGGGGATGGTGCTGCAGATGCAGAGAAGTGGTCAGACTTGGGATACCTTTTGCAGGTAGAACCAGCTGGATTCACTCATAGCTTAGATGTTGGAGAGCGACAAAGAGGAACGTAGGGTGACTCTGAGGTTTTCTAATTGAGCCAGTGAAGAGAAGATCCCCAGTGCAGAAACTGTATCCACCACCTGTGCTCCTTGTGCCCCAAGGCACTGCTCTGGGTGTCTGGCCCTTACCAACCAGGCACTCCCTTCAGCTGGTAGCAGGGACTCTTGTGCCCTGCTAGAAACTAAGCTCCTTGAGGACAAGAACCATGGCTTTGTGTTCTCAGCCTTGGGCTCAATACTCTGTAGGCACCAGATCTTACAAATGTCTTTACTTTATGTGGCCAAGAGCAAAATCACAGAAGTGAGAATGAGCATCAAATGGAGAGGGGCAAGGGCTGCCAAGGACCAAGGGCGGGGCTTCGAGTGCTATCCTGGTTTTACTTTGGAATCCTCTGACCTGCCGTCCAAAATGCAGCAGCAACTCCAGAGTGTGGCAGCGCCTCACTTCCCGTGCTTTTTCCAATCCTCCAAGAACAAAAATGAGAGAAGAAAGATCCCTAATGTATTCCACTGGCATTTGGGAGTAGAAGACTAGACGGTTCAGTTGCCAACACCAAAATGAGCTTTGCCTGACTTTTCCTGATCTCTCAGCCTCCCTCCGTATCCATAGTACCTGCTAAGCATCGCATGCTATTGAAGTTGTGTTCCTTTACAAATCGGAGTTTGTCCTTCAGAAATCGTTTCCCGTTAAGCACTGTGCCTAACGTTCAGCTGCTCTGTGACTGAATGGACCAGCTAACTTGCTTCTCCCCAGGAATGCAGCTCAGCATGGAGCTTCATAAACAGGGAGGGAGCTCGTACAGATGGAAGAGCCTACACCATTTTCCATTAGGAGCTTCGAATGGCACAAAGCTATAGTAAATAGGGGTTTCTGTAAACATAAATGATTAAAATAAGCACAGAATTACCTGTTATCAAATTACTATGGAGAAGAAAGTGTTGGGTCATTTCGAGCAAAACTGAAAAGAATACAAACACCTAGGCAGGAATTTAAGATCCTTCTCAGTTAAATTTCACTTGAAATATCATGATTTAGGCCAATTCTGGTTTTACTTATTCGACTTTAATTAGAAGACTTTTCTTTTACATACCAAGCGTAGGGTGTCACAAGAACTCCAACTCTTGGCCTGTAGACAGTTTTTCATCTTGGACCTCTCTTCTGCTGAAAAAATATCAATTGTCTTGCTGGTCAGCTCTAATTACCCTAGGGAAAGAATCTGATTGGTGCCTGTATGGTACTGGTCCTCCAAAAAAGCCTTGGGTCCCTAAATGCTTGAATGCTTTTTGGTTGATAAAGAATTGCTTTCTGTGCCAGGCATTTTTTCTTTGCAATACCTGGCTTTGTTTGAACCAGAAGAGGGAGAACATGCAGAGGCCCGGCTGCGTCCGTGAGACAAGCGTCCCATAACTATCTTTCTCCAGCCAGACTAGTATCCCCTTCACCTTCGTCTTATACAGAGTCCCCTTCCTTCTGAAGGGTGTGGAAGTTCAATCATCATCAAGAAATAAGGGCTTCTAGTGCCAGGCATAGCTTTTCTTTCCAGGGTTCCCAGCACACAGAGAGAAGGGACAGACATTTAAAATCAGTCATCAAGGCACTGGAGGCAGAGGTTCTGCTGGGATTCGTGGAAAGGTCATTCCCTGGAGCGCGAGTACTGAGGAAAGCTGGATGGAGGATGCTATCTGGATTGGGGGTCCTTGTGTGCTCTGCAGAGAGGGAGATGAAGAGCAGCTCAGAGAGAGAGAGAGCATGAGGAAGGACGGAGCACACAGTGAACTTGTCAGCTCACTAGGGCTACCATAACCAGTGACCACACGCTGGGCAGCTTAAACAGCAGAATGCATCCTTTTATGGTTCTAGAGGCTGGAAGTCCAAAATCAAGGGGTCTGCAGGGTCAAGCACCTTCTGAAAGGCTCTCGGGAATAATCCTCACTTACCTCTCCTAACTTCTTGTGGTTGCCAGCAGTCCTTGGCTTGTAGATGCATCCCTCCAGTCTCTGCCTCTGTCTTCACATGGCCTTCTTCCCTAAGTGTGTTTTTGTGTCTCTGTGCCTGTCTTTGTGAGGAGAACAGTTGTTAGATTTAGGGCCCATCCTAGCCCAGAATAACTTCATCATAACCAATTACATCTGCAAAGGCCATATTTCCAAATAAGGTCACATTGCAAAGTTCTAGGTAGGCATGAGTTTGCAGGGAAACTGTTCAACGCACTGTAGTGAAGTGTTCAGAAAATAGTTTCATGTGAGTGGACAGTTTGTTAGGGAATAATAGGTGGTAAGGATCTGACTGAGAAAGATGTTGAGCATTAATTTACAGGCTTCGAGTCTGTCCCATAGCGGCTGCTATGTGCTTGGCACCATTCTGAGGTATAGATGTACTGTTATTATTATTCCACCTTAGATGGAGAAACTGAGGCACAGAGAGACTCAGTAAAATGCCCACAGCTAGAAAAACAGAGCCAGGATTCTGATCCAGGCAACTGGCTGGAGAGTCTGCTCTTCACTCCCATGTTGTTACTTTCCCCGTCTGAGCATCTTCAACACATTTGACCAGCACAGGATATGCAGTGCTTCCCCCCGTGAGCATTGTGCTTGCAAGCGCAGAAATAAGCTGCCTGACTTTCTTCCACAGTAAATGTGGCCACTGGCAGGGAGAACAAAGGTGCTTCTTTAGTTGGTGTCAGTGTCTAAACCTTTGCATGAAGGGCCTGTTGTGGTCAGTAGCATTGCCCTGTTATCTCGACAGCACATGATTTTGTTGTCGTCGTCGTTTCGTTTTGTTTCAGAAATTGGGAAAGTGTTGGTTTTTACTTCCTGGAACTTCCAAGGGTGGGGTTATTTGCAAGGGATTCCACAAGCCAACTAAGCCATATCCTTTCCCCAACCTGCAGCCTAGATAGATGAGTAACACCTGGCAGTGCCCTGTCCTACCTGGTCACCTTTTCTCATACCTTACAACTAGGATGACCAACCACCCCAGTTTGCCCAGAACTAGGGGGTTTCCTGGGATGTGGGAATTTTAGTTTTAAAACCAGGACAAGTCGGTCACCCTACTTACAGTCCCCCTTATTGTGCACTGCCAGCTACGTCTTCTCCAACAGAGAGGAGCTGCACCAGCACCCACAGGGAGACGGCAGAATGTCTGTCTTGGTTGGTACCCTACATTTTCAGAGCCATAATCATGTCTGCCAGTAGGAAGGTCTCTGAAAGTGGTAAAATAAGTGGGAGTGCTGGAGTTATTTAGAATGGTGCTGTTCTTCTTACAGGAGAAGAGGATGAGGAGGAGCCAGAGATGCCTGTCGGCCCTCGCCCACGCCCACTCTCTGAGCTTCACCTTAAGGAAAAGGCAGTGCCCATGCCAGAAGCCAGCGCGTTTTTCATCTTCAGCTCTAACAACAGGTGTGCAGCGATGGTGGGGAAGGTGGGCTCCTGCTCTCTCTCGTACCAGCCTGGCCGTTTCCTGTGTTTTACCTGAACCTCTGGATGGAGCCTGAGGCTCTCCCAGCTCCCTGCAAATTGTATAAACAGACACTGATTTAGGAAACAGTCCTGGATTTTGAATCAGAAGGCTTGTGTTTATTTTTCTCTGCACTTTTTGGTTTGTTTTTTTTTTTTTTTGGCAGAGTCTCGCTCTGCCACCCAGCCTGGAGTGCAGTGGCGCAATCTTGGCTCACTGCAAGCTCCACCTCCCGGGTTCAAGCCACTCTCCTGCCTCAGCCTCCCAAGTAGCTGGGACTACAAGCGCCCACCACAGTGCCCAGCTAATTTTTTGTATTTTTAGTAGAGATGAGGTTTCACCATGTTAGTCAGGATGGTCTCGATCTCCTGACCTTGTGATCTGCCCGCCTCGGCCTCCCAGAGTGCTGGGATTACAGGCGTGAGCCACCGCGCCCGGCCTTTTCTCTCCACTTTTTGAAATGTTTAAACTCTATTTCTATTCTTTGGGTGATTACCCTTGATAATTTACTAATTCTATTTAACTTAACAAAATGTGATGTTAAACAATATAAGAATCTCCTCCTGTATAATAGATTGACCTTAGATTATTTTAACTCACTCATCTGCTCCTTACTTACGTGGAGTTGTCATTAGTATCTTAGTCCAACTTTTATTTGTAACCCAACAAGTTAGTGAGTCTTATTATCATATAGATAGTGTGAGTTTGGATATATGTACACCTTACCATTTTATTTGTTCACCATTTTTTTATTCATTTCCGTCCATCCTTTAGCTAACATTTTCTTTCCTACTAAAGTACATTCTTTAGAAGCTCCTTTAGTTCCATAATGGCAAATTCACTTGGCCTCTGCTTACCTATAACTGTTTTCACTTCTTGCTCTTGAAAGATAGTTTTGCTGTGAACACTATTTTAGACAGTTTTTGTCCTGCAGCACAAGAAAGGTGTTATTCCACTGTAAAGTCAGGTGTCATTCCAACTATGAGTTCTTTGTGAGTGACCTAACCTTTATTTGTAGCTGCTTTTAACATATTCTGTTGCCTTTGTGGTTGTACAGATTTACTACCATGTGTCAAGGTGTGGATTTCTTTCCATTCATCTTGCTTAGAATACATTCTGCTTCCTAAGCCTATGGATTTAGATTTTTATTTAGTTAATGAAAATGTACAGCCATAATGGTTAAATGTTACTTCTTTTTAATTCTATATTTCTTCCTTTTGACACTCCAATTGGACATCTGTTAGACTTTTTCATTCTGTTCTCCCTATTTCTTAGAGGGCCTTACATATCTTTCATCTCCTTGTCTTTCTGTATTCTGGGAGATTTCTTCAGCTGTATCTTCCAGTTTCTTAATTCTATTTTCAACTTAATCTATATTACTGTCTAAACCAATTTTTTATCTTGACCATTATATGTTTTTGTTTTAGTTGGTTCCATTTGTTGCTTGATTTTCCAGATTCATCTCTCTAAATCTAGTAGTTTCTATCGATGCCTCATCTTTGTGATTTAGTCCTTTATTTCATTAAATGTTTCAAATATAGTTGTTTTATAGTCTATATCTAGTATTTCCAATACCCCCAGTCTTTGGAATCTAAATCACTTATCCGGTGTTTCTTCAGATTTCCCATCTTAGTGGCTTGTCCTTTGGTGCATCCGATGATCTTTGATTGTGACCCCAACACTTCTTCTTCATTTGTGAGAGTCCTGAGGACTAAAGTAGGTCTGGGGAGGCTTTCTTCCAGATGCCCCTTGGAGGTGTTGGCTCAGGCTTTCCTGCCCCATGTCAAGACTGGCTTAACCTGCAATTTCTTGACAGCACTGCTGTTATTGGCTTCCATCCTCAAGCAATTCTGCCTTCCTGGCTGGCTCTCTCTCCATACATAGCCTCAGCTCAATGGAGGTTGGTGGGAGGGGTTGTTGGTTTGAAGCAGATGATTCTTACAGCCATCTCCTAACTCTCATAAACCAGAATTGTCTCAGAGAGCTTGGCCCCTCGAGGGTTTGGTGCTTCTGCAGCAGGAGGGCTTCTCAGAGCATTTAGTCAACCATAATGCCAGGAGCAGAAGTCTGAAGGCCTGGGTTGAAGCCCTGACTCCCCAACACTAAGGCTATGTTTCTGGGCAAGCTTCTCCTACTTGGGTTTCAGTGTTCTTACCTGTGAAATGAAGATGATGACACTCATCCCCTCCTTCCTACATTGTTGTCAAGATGAGATGGTGTACAAGACACTTTCACATTTAGGAACCTAGCATTTTTGGTACTGTCACTGAGTGCCTAGAAGCTCAGTTGGGTAATTGTGCTGGGGCGTGGAAGTGAATTGCACATGTAAAGCTCTTACACAGGAGCAGATCACCTACAGAAAGCCGGCTTGGCCGGCTCCTCAGCATACCCAGCTCCGGGCAGTCCTATTGTTCCCTGTGCATTAGCATAGCGCAGATCTCATAAAGTGATTTCTTTTCAATGATAGGGAAAATAAGTCCCCAAACAAAAGCCAGTTATGAATGTCAGAGCAGGATTTGGGAATTCAGAGATTCTCAAAGGTCTCAGATGTAACCTTCTAAAATATCAAAGATGATATCTGCACCGTGGGGGTGAGAGGTTGTCATTACCAAGCGGCAGTAAGACTTCAAAATGAAGAGGTCACTTGAAGCCAACAAGCACCTGTTGCCAGCTGCTGGGAAGAGCTGAGGGGACGGGCTCCCAAGAGCCGACTGCTGCTTCCCCTTGTCTGCCTTGACTTGTCTCTCCTTCTGTCCCCCTCCCATATAGGTTTCGCCTCCAGTGCCACCGCATTGTCAACGACACAATCTTCACCAACCTGATCCTCTTCTTCATTCTGCTCAGCAGCATTTCCCTGGCTGCTGAGGACCCGGTCCAGCACACCTCCTTCAGGAACCATGTATGCATTGCCTGTGTCCTCTGCACTCCTTCCCACTGGGGCTGTGCCGGGCCCACAGCTTCTGTTGCTGACATCATTGTTCAATCCGGAGCCCAATTCTAGATGTCATAATCAGATCCACAACTGACATTTCATTAAGAGAGTAGGGCTTTGATAGAAAACCACCCTAGGACCACAAACAAGTAAGAGAGCATGTACCCAAATGCTCAGGCTGGCTTGATCACTGGCAAAGGGTAGGACTTCCATTGCCTGTGGATGTTCCCCAGGAAGCTCTAGTTCCCTGCAAACTTGGTAAAATGTGGCCACTGACTACATGTCCTCCCTTGCTCCCAGCGTACTCTGACCAGAAGGGGAGCATTGGCAAATAGGTGCCAATGATGAGGCTGACCTTACCTAAAAGAGAGTCTTGGTACCTTCAGTAGAGTAGACCAAATGTGAGGACCCACCCAAGGCTCTGTTGAACAACGTTAAAGGCCAGTTTAAGAATTGCTGTATTTCAAAACCTCAAAACTTTGTCAAGTCCAACCAAGTGGGCATGAAGACAGCCCACTGATCTAAAGCCATACCCATGCCAAACTACTCTGCACTCCTGGGGCCTGCTTGGTCCCGGGCTGTCTTAGTGAGGTTAGCAGGTGTTGGCCCCACCCCTGATCCATCACCTGAAATAGAATAAGTATGCAATCCTGCAGCCGGTCCTCAGCCTGTGCAGACCTCACCTGAAGGATGCACCTCCCTTGCCCCAGAGGACATAACCCAGGAGTAGATTTCTACCAATACAGGAAGCTCGCCAGCTCAGTCCCACCCGCATGAGCGAAGCATTTTTAATCTCCCTGCAAAAAGACAAACCCCATTCTCTGTCCTTTTGACAAGCATCTCAGTGGTCCGATTTGGGTTTGTAAGTAAATTGGATTAATGGGAAAAGCATCCAACCAGATGCTGCTCAGATCCAGTACCAGCTGAGGCCAGCCCTGGAAGCTCACCTCACTTATCTGGGGGCTTCAAGGGAAGCTGCTGTGCTGCCTGAGGCTAGCCCCACCTCAGGATCGCTGTGTGCGTGCTGCTCGCCCCCCCATTTCCATCTGTGTCCCTGTGCAAAGGCTCAAGTGCCATGCCTCTCATTTTGAAGTGTGGCCCCTTTTCTGGTGAACATCCACTGACCTCTCTTCCCATCCTGCTTTTCTCCCTTCCCCATCCCATCCTCACCCTGTTCCTTTTTGTTTTGCAGATTCTGTTTTATTTTGATATTGTTTTTACCACCATTTTCACCATTGAAATTGCTCTGAAGGTAAAGCCCCCATCCCCCTCTGCTCCTCCTGTCCCCCTTGTGCCAGCACCAGGTCTCTGCTGCTGTCTGTCGCTAACACACATGCTCCTTCCTGTTGGTGTCGGGTTCACTCTCAGAGCCACTAATCCAATTATGCTTATTTTTCAGATCCTAGGCAATGCAGACTATGTCTTCACTAGTATCTTTACATTAGAAATTATCCTTAAGGTAATGCAACCTGGGCAATGCATCCTCTGTCGCTTTCTTTGTGTATCTCTGCTCTGTCTGGCTGGCTCTTTTCTCTCTTCTGTTTCTTTCACTCTCTCTTTTTTTTACTCCCAAGCCTGAAATTGGAAAAATGAGTGCCCCTCACTTTGTGTGATGCACTTTGCCCAGACTCAGAAGCCAGGAGCAGCCTACCCCACTGCAGCCCCTCCCTCCAGCCACCCCTAAGCAGTCCGTGCCCTGGAAGGGACACGTGTTGGCTGTGCCAACATCAAGGCTGCCATTTCACTGGTTTGGGCTGCAGCCGTCAGCAGCGCCAGACATACATGCCCACACGCACCAGCTCTGGTTAATTGATACCTGAGCCCACGTAGGACTCTCCTTCCCTCCTCCTGCTCCATACACTCTGAAAGTGGGAAACCTCCTGGGACATGAAAGAATCACTTCGGCTGCTCTCTTTGGATGCCCGTCCTTAGCACCGTCCTCTGTACTTGCAGCAGACATTGGGTCTAAGCTGGGGTTGGGGCACGTAACAGTGATCACAGGCCTGCTGTGAGATGTGGAGCTGGTCTCCGAGCTGAGGGCTTTCAGCAGGTAGCTATAGACTACTGTCAACCCCTCAGTCACCTGCTGCAAAGCTTTGTCACAGTGCCCCTTGCGCTGAGCGTGGGGGAGGGAGGACTGTGCTGGAGAGCTGAGTACAGCGGGATGAGAGCAGGTGCTGCAAGGAACCTGAGCACCCAGCCCCCAGCCCCCAGCCCTCGCCTGCTGCTGGCCCAGCTCAGTTCTGCTAAGGGAACTGCTACAACATTGCTACCCTCAGAACAGGCAGAGCCCACCACAGAGCAACACTGAGATGAGAGAGAGTGTGCCTCCATTTTTCCGGTATATTTCTGAGTCTCTAAACCAATGCATGGCCAAGCCAGTTCATCTGAGAGTCAAGGTGTGAGTTCCATGGCCTCAGGGAACGTGTGCTCCTCTCTGAGCAAGGGGATAGATTCTACCCTTTCCCCAAACAGAAGGACTAAGGCTCTGAAGTCCATGCTTCAGCTTTAGCTTCTTCCTGGGAGACTAGGCTGGGACTCCCCCTCCCAGGGAGTCCAGAATCCCTTGTCATCCTATCGCTGTGGCCAGTGCAAGCTGAAGTCCACACCTGACCGATGCCACTGCCAGCTGCAGGCCTTTCCTTCCCTGATGAGACTCCCTCATCATGGCCCAGCCTGTTGATGGACATGACAGTTCAGTCACATCCAAATACAAATTGAATGGGGCAGTTTTTGTGTGCCTTCCCCTGTGTCCTTGTCCCCAGGATACTCAGGTGTCCCCAGTTTCCATCCCTGGTTCCCGCTAGCCAAGTATGTGGCTCAGATTTTTCTTTTCTGCTCATGGAGAGTAGATCTGACCAGGCTCTGGCTCCCGGAGGTCGGGAGAGGGAACCGAAAGTTGTGTGGCTGCACTAAGATGCGCTGCGGCAAAACCTCTTTTCCATGGTGAGCTGCTTTGATTCCTGGACTTCAGATGCAGGGAGGCACACAGACACCAGAGGTCTTTCCTAGCACAAGAGAAGCTCTGAGGCCCAATTCTCAGTGCCCTTCTCCGGAGCTGCCCTTGTGGATTTCAATGGTGCTATTTCTCCTTCGGGATTGCCATACAAGCCAAAGTGAAAGGTCTCTTTGCAACCATTGTCATGGCAAGGTCCTTCCCTCCCCTCCATCCCCTCCCTCTTCTACTCTCTTCTGTGCTCAGCATGCTTCTCGATAGACACCCCGATGCCGGAACACTTCCCTGTACCTCCTTCCCACTGGGTCCCTCTTCCTGGCCTAAGGCCCAGTGTCAGGTTGTGGCACAGATGACCGTGGCTGTCCAAGGGGGACATTTAGCACAAGGAACAGTGGAGGGGCCTGGAGATGTTTGGCCTTAAAAAGGAAAGGCTTGTAGGCCCACAACAGTTGCTGAGTAATATAAGGGACTGTCACATAGAAGAGGAAGAAGGTAGAATCAGGACCCATGAGTAGAAATCACATTAAAAAGACAGGTTTCCTAACTAGGAGAGCTGCCTGGAGAGGCAGGGATGGCCCATGGTTGAACAGAGAGCTTTCCTACCCTTCCAGGCGGAGCCAGCGAGCCACGTCCCATTCCTTTCCTTCCTCAGGATAGAAGCACCCCAGCAAGGGCCGCTTCCCAAGTAATGGTGTAGAATTAAGCAAGCAGGACCCAGGTGGCTGGCAATCGGAAAACAGGGCCAAAGAGGGACAATTCGCACTGGGCACCTGAGCCTGGCTTTTCCTGATGCCCTGAATGGCACAGATGACTCTCAAGTGAATGCTCTGTTTTCCCCACGTCCGTTTGCCCTTTCTTGTACAGCCACTCTTCCTCTGGCCCTGGGTGCACACTCCCACCGCCCCCATATGCACACACATGCACTTGCTCAAGTGTTGGTCTCATTTGAGGGTCCCCAGACGAAACAGGAGCCCAAAACCAGAGGACAGAGTCGGCACTCTGAGCCTCGTTAGTCCACCCCTCTGAGGAATGCTTTCCCCGAGCACAGAGGGTTCTGTCAGAGTTCAGTGGTAGCCTCGGAAGATCCAAGCCCGGAGCAAGAAGGAATCAGACCCGGTGCCTTCCTAACACTAAAAGCGAGGTGGCTGGGGAAGTACTGGGCTTTCTGCAGGCACAGAGGGCTCTTCAGTTAATGTGAACTATGGGAGCCTCCTGAGTCCAGTCTCTGGGGGTCCCAGGTCTTCACTGAGAGGCAGAGAAGCAAGCCTTCCAGATGGTGGGCCTTCTGGCACTATACGCCCTTGCATCTTTTATATAATTACCCACTTCTAAAAATCATTGCCCAACACAGGTGCCTGAGTCCTGTGGGACCCCCTGCTGCAAGAGATAAATGGAAAGAATTAGGTTGCAAGAGCTATTTTTGCCCATTTCCCCCTGTGTTTGCTTTTGAATGGCTCTGCGGACACTCTGCCCTGGGCACGCTCTGATTCCAAAGAGATTAACTGGGCCCCAGATGACCAGGGAGCCTCGCTCCCCTTCTCCACCGTCAGTTCCACATTTTTCCCTTTGGCCGATGCTTCCTGTCTGCTGCCTGTCACCGCCCTTATCCTGGATAACCATGGGCCCTTACGCAAGTCGGCAAAATGAGAAAGGCTATAAAGGCGATTTGTTGAGCGCCTGCAGTGCACAGCTTTACACCAGGCTCAGAGGGTGGTAATAATGGCCAAGTCCTGTGACAGTCATCATCATCTTGTGTGTTCTCTTTTAAAAAGTTTCCAAAGGGCTTTCACAAAGCCAGGGGATAGTTTCCTCACTTGATGATGAGAGAACAGAACTTTCCTCATCCAGGAAGCATCCAGAATACAAATCCAGGCTGTAGTGACAGCTCAGCCTTTTATGGGGCTCACTGTGTGCAGGGTGGGTCCTAAGTATTTTACACAGAAGTACCCGCTTGATGCTTACAACCCTGTAGGGTGGGTCATATCCTCGTTTTCCAGTGAGGAAACAGAGGCACTAAGGGAAGCTGAGTTTCTTGCTCCAGGCCACACAAATAAAATACCATGGGGCTGGGATTCCAGCCCAGGCCGCCTGGCCTCAGAGCCTGTGCTCTTAGCCACGGAGCCTCGTAGCCCCTCTGATCACACAGTTTTTGCCCTTAAAAAACTCCAGATGCAGTCTCGAAGCAAGACAGGAGAATTGAGTTTAGAATAGTTGGCATCAATCGTCAGCACCCTTTGAGGCCAGGAAGGGGAGGTATGCTAATTGCCAGAGTCACCACTGGAACTTCTCACCAGGCACCAGGGTGACCAGCTGGCCTAGTTTGCTTCAGACTGAGGAGTTTCCTGGGATACAGGATTTCTGGTAATAAAGCAAACCTGGGCAAACCAGGATGGCTGGTCACCCTCCTGGGCATGCCCCCCCGCCCCCGCCCCACTCCCTGCAGATGCCTGGTGCTCTCAGCTGGCCTAAGGACTCAAGCATTCAGAGAAGCAGTCGGAACATGTGCTCCCAGCCCGAGAGCATCAGGAAAGGACCCTGCAGGCCCGAAGCCACGGACTTGGGATGTGGAACAGCGGGAAATTAGAATGGGATGGTGGGGCCCACTTGAAAAGGCTTTGAATGTAGGACTAAAGAGCCTGGCGCGGCCTGGCAGGTGCAAGGAGCCACCCAGAAGTCCTGGGCTGGGAGATTCTTGGGCGATTGTGTGCATGGTAGCAGAGCTGTTTTCTTGGCACCATATTGCCATCTTTGTCCTTCCTGTTCCCCGTGGATGGTGCTTGGGACTTGCCCAAGGAATGCTGTGGGAGGAAGGGGTGGTGTGAGGGGTCTCTGGGCTCGGGCTAGGGCCACTCACGCTGGTGTTTCTCTGTCCCTCCCTGCAGATGACTGCTTACGGGGCTTTTCTGCACAAGGGCTCCTTCTGCCGGAACTACTTCAACATCCTGGACCTGCTGGTGGTCAGCGTGTCCCTCATCTCCTTTGGCATCCAGTGAGTGGACCCCCTCAGCCCACGATGGGCCATGCTGCTAGCAAGGGGTGCCAGAGAGGACAACCAAACCCTGGAGGGCCCGCCTGCAGGGCCACCGAAGTGTGATGAGAGTGGGGTGGGGCCTCCGAAGCTGTGCATGGCGGCTTTGAGTTCTTGGATCCGTGTCCTCGGTGGTCTGACACTTGGGGCATGTTGATCAGGCGCGAATATGTTTAAATACCTGGGTTTTGCCATGACAGGCGGGGCCAGGCTCAGCTATTGAGAAACGGTTGTCCCCAGGACCTTCCTGCCTCCTCCACCACGGCCCCAGTGCCCTAGGCTGACCTTCAGCAACCCGTAGTCTGCCACTGCCGTGGCCTCCCCTGACCTGGACCCTCCTCCCTTTCTCTCCCCTCTCTCTCCAGCCAAAGCACCTCGTGTATGAGTGTATGTGTGAATGTGTATATATATGTCTGTGTAAGTGTGGGGTGTATGTGTGCATGTGTGTGTATGTGTGGGGTGTGTGTATATGTGTATGTGTTTGTGGATGTATGTATGTGTGTATGTATGCACTTGTATGCATGTGTTTGTGTGTTTGTGTCTGCGTATGTGTCTATATGGGTGTGTATGTGGTTGTATATGTGGATGTATGTGCGTGTGTGTGTGTGTGACTGTATATTTGTGTCTTGTGTGTGTGCGCGCGTGTGTGTGTATGTGTGTGTGAATGTGTGTGTGTTTCATTTCACTGGGCTGGGGTACAGTCTGGGTGTGAGTTCTCAGAGCTCTCCAGGTGACTCCCCTGTACAGCCAAGGTTGCAGACCTCATTCAGGTGTGGAGGATCTGATTACTAGTTTCTACCAAGTTCTAACAGATGATAGTGTGAATTCTACACTTTAACTTTCAAAGCACTTCCACATACACGTTCTTCTATGGTCCTCACACACACACAACGATGGGGGAGACAGGGCAAGTGTTATTATCATCATTGTATAGATGGGAAATTTGGGGTTCAGGACATCATGACACTTGCTCAAGGTCACACCTATGGTAGAGAAAGGCCTAAGTCCCATGGTTCCTAGATCTCTCCTCCCAAGCGTGTTTCCATGGTCGGCTGAGATCATGCAGGGACCGGGGCCTTGGGAGAGCCCCTTGTCTGTGATCGTCAATTATATTACCCCGTATTTTCTGCCTGGGAGCCTACAAGTCTAGATTTGAATCCCAGCGTGGCCACTCAATCACTATTTAACCTTGAACGAGGAATTCTTCCTCTTCAGCCTGTGTGTTTCCCATCTGACCTTTAACCCCCTCCCGTTGTAATTCAGTGCAAGCTGACTCCCTCCCAGAGAGACTGTAGGAGAGACACGGTGATAGACAGGAGTGGCCTTTGCATCTCTTGGAATAAAAGAGCTATGCACCAGAGAAATCGGATCTTTCCGCCAGCCCCTTCTTGAGCACATCATCCTGACCACACAAAGCATGAAATCAGCACTTGCTGGCCTGCCATTCATTGTTTAGGTCCCAAGGCAAGTATGAGGCTCTCTAAAAGCTTGAGAGGCTGTCTGAGGTAGTTAGCCCGTGAGGGTTAGGATGTACTCCACAGCTGCTCACCGAGGTAGTATGGTTAGTAAGCCCCACCTGGGTAGAATGGACAGCTCCAAAAACCATCCAGGCATCTTGCTCAGGGACCTGTCTCCTGCTGTCTCCATCGCACTGGGGAAAAGCAGTTTCCTGAGACTCCAAGAAGCTCTGGCTTGGCCTCAGCATCCCAGAAGTGTGGAACCTGTAGTGCAGTGTAGGAGCCAAAGGGCCTTCTGAAGGGTCACTGAAAAATCAACCGACAAAAGAAAGGTTAATTGGAGAAAAAGCATTCACATTTATTTCACCTGTATACACAGAGCCTTCAGAATGCAGACCCAAATATACAGGGGAAATTGTCCATTTTTATGCTTCGGTTCCAAAAAAGTATGGACAGCCATGTAGAAATGTGACTGGACAAGAAGGGTAGGATCTAACGTGAATGGACTGAGTGGGGAACCCAGCAAGGCCTGTCTGTAGGTTCTTCGCCTCTCTGTGAAGCATTCCTTCCTTCTGGGCTGGGGACAGGATCCTGTCTGCAGTAGGAGTCTTAGGATCTACACTCCCACGTGGTAGATCTGAGGATTTTTTATGGCCAGTTTTTATACAGAAAAGCACAGGGAAAATTTGAGTAATATTTTTAGGTTGTGTGGCTGGCTTTGAGGAAATGAGGTTCTGGGTTCTGGCTTCTTGACCCGTCTTGGAGAAGAGGGATTCTAGTGTTTATGGCTAGCCTCGGAGGAGAAGGGGACTGAGACAGGAGGGCAAGAGAAGTTTAGAGAAAAACTTGTGCTTCTGAGACTGCTTCTAAGGCAGTCGTTTCAGGGTGGTGTTTCCTGAGCCCCAACAGTAAAGCCCACCCTTCCTTGGAGTCCTGAGTGTGCTCTGGGTGAGTTTTAGGTGTAGGTGCCAGGGGCAGCTGTCTAGGGTATGTGTTTGGAGATAAACACTACGAGATCTCCTCCCCATGCCCATCACCTCCAGCCACAAGGCCCGAGATCCCACCATCAGTACGGCATTCCTTTAAGTGTAATGCTGTCTTCAGCAGGCATCATGATAAAAGGTACCATTCAGGCAGTTTATCAAGCACACGGCCAGGTGATTTACACGGAACTCTTACATAACCCTTGCAAAGACCTTCTGAGCTGATTACAGACCCATTTTACAGATAAAGAAACTAGAGCTCAGAAAATTGAGGAAATTTGTCCTCAGTGCCTTGGCTAGCAAGTGCCTGTGCTGGGCTCTGAATTCCCATGGCCTCGCTCTGGATTTCTTCTGTGACACTGTGGGTGCCCCTGGAAGTAGCACAGTACATTGCTAATGACCTGCGTTGAGCCACTTTGCGTATTATTTATTCACCCACAGGAAAGCCCCAGGGTTATAGGCAAGCTCCAGGCTCTCACCACGGGGTGGGAGACAGGAGTAGAGAGTGGTCCCAGAATGCAAAACGTCCCCAAGATGGGCTTTACGTTTTCTCAGGTTTACCTGGGATTCACCTGTCAGGACACTCCCTTACCACATTGTTTTTGCTCCCCCCAGAAACAGGAGGAGCTTACTACCCTGCCTGTTTCCCTCTCCCAGGTCCAGTGCAATCAATGTCGTGAAGATCTTGCGAGTCCTGCGAGTACTCAGGCCCCTGAGGGCTATCAACAGGGCCAAGGGGCTAAAGGTAAGTTGAGGGCATGGGTAGGGAGGCTCCGGCCAGCCCGCTGGGGAGTGGGAGCTCCACAGAGGTGAGGGGTGGGTTGGAAGGAGGAGATGATGGTCAGGCCAAGTGGCTGCCATGTGGGGTCCTGGACACTGGTGCCACTGCATGTCCCGGATCCGTAATGAACAGAAGAGTAACAGAGGCAGTCACCCAAAGTGTCTTCCCTAAGCAGAACGTGCCAAAGGGAGATCGCATGAAAACCCTGGGCCCCTGCGGTGCCGCCATCCCTATATTCCTTCCACTGTAAGATGAGAGGTTAGCAGGGCTTTTGTCCTTGTAGTCACAGAGAGCCCAGTGGGGGCCTTTGCACCCCATTAGGGTCTATCACTTCCCATGTGACTCTCGGAGCGTGGCTTTGCCCCTCTCAGCCCAATGACTCCCGCTTGTGGCAAACGGGCTGCCCTTGCCCCTCTCAGCCCAATGACTCCCGCTTGTGGCAAACGGGCTGCCCCTGCTACCTCCTGGAAAGGCTCCTGGCATCTCCTGAAGCCACGTCTCTCTCCCCGTCCCTTCCCACTGCAGCATGTGGTTCAGTGTGTGTTTGTCGCCATCCGGACCATCGGGAACATCGTGATTGTCACCACCCTGCTGCAGTTCATGTTCGCCTGCATCGGGGTCCAGCTCTTCAAGGTAAAGTCTGGGCTCCGCTGTGGTCCTGCTTCCTCCCCTCCCATCAGCATTCCCGGGGAAGGGAGCTGGCAGATACTGGACGAACAAGACAGTGGCCCGGGCCAGACTTGGCCTGGATGTAACCTCCACCTGCAGCCCAACTCCAGCTTCAGACCAGGGGAGGGAGGCGCTAGAAGGAGGTATCGGGCCACCAGGCCAGAGGCCCCTCACTCTCTCCACTTCACCTGCCCTTCAGGTCACTGCCCTTCCTTCTAGAAAGAGAGGGAGAGGGACTTGCATCCTGTGGAAGCTCTGTGTCAGTCACTTGCTTAAAGCCTGCAGCAGTGACCTATTACCAACAGCATCACGTCCCTGCTACACCACCCAGCTTTCAGAGCCCCGCACCTGTCAAAGTCAGCTCCCGCTGCTTCCTGCAGCACCCCTCGGCTACAACGAGGCCAGTGCCCTCCTTGGATTCTGATCTTTTTTGTCCTCACCCTTTTAGTTCTGCTTTTCTCCCACCTAGAGCATTCTCCCCTGCCACCACCCCCACTGTGTAAACTCCCATCTAATTCATCCCTCTGAGTCCAGCTCCACTTCTCCCTCCCTGGCGAGACCTTCCTGGAGAGTACAGCTCCCATGCACCCGAGCTCCCGTTTTTGCATTGCAGGGCTACTTACAGCACTGGTGTCTGTATTCGCCACTGTTTTGTGCATGTGAGTCAGGCCCTGTGCATCTGGATTCTGCACTTTTGTTTTTGTTTTGTTTTGTTTTGTTTTGTTTTGTTTGATACGAAGTCTCACTCTGTCGCCCAGGCTGGAGTGCAGTGGCGCGATCTCAGCTCACAGCAAGCTCTTCCTCCCGGGTTCACGCCATTGTCCTGCCTCAGCCTCTTGAGTAGCTGGGACTACAGGTGCCCGCCACCATGCCTGGCCAATTTTTTGTATTTTTAATAGAGATGGGGTTTCACCATTCACAGGATGGTCTCCATCTCCTGACCTTGTGATCCGCCCGCCTCAGCCTCCCAAAGTGCTGGGATTACAGGTGTGAGCCACCTCACCTGGCCGGATTCTACACTTTTTGTCCCTAGCACAGTGCTGGGCTATGGAGGTGCTCACTAATTGTTTTTGGATTGACTCATTGATTACTGAACATCTCTAATACTCTGTTCTCTGCCTTCCAGGGAAAGCTGTACACCTGTTCAGACAGTTCCAAGCAGACAGAGGCAGAATGCAAGTGAGTGGAGGTGGGAGGGCAGCCAGGGCCACGGCCAGTCAGCCCCAGGAGGCTGGAGGCTTGACCAGAAAGGAGGGACAGCTCAGTTTCTAAGACCGCAGTGGCACCTGGACTTTTGCCTGTGTGTAATCTGGCCCCGCTGACACAATGTGTAGCATTTTTTCTTCCTGAAGTTTCTACCCACTGAAGCTCCTCCCATGGCTGGAACTGTGAAGGTCAAGCCAGGCAGTCCCATCCCACCCAGCATTCAGGGTGACTGGCAGGCGTGAGGGAAGATGGGAGACCCCAGAGTAAACTGCTTCTCCTTTCTCAGGGGCAACTACATCACGTACAAAGACGGGGAGGTTGACCACCCCATCATCCAGCCCCGCAGCTGGGAGAACAGCAAGTTTGACTTTGACAATGTTCTGGCAGCCATGATGGCCCTCTTCACCGTCTCCACCTTCGAAGGGTGGCCAGAGTGAGTATGCAAACCAAGGCCTCATGAACCCTGACCTTCGAGGGCCAGTACTGACTTTCCAGCACAAACCCAAGTTTTGTTCATGTCCCGCACTCCTTCTGGAGGTCATGTTTACCTGGGTCCTCCCCAAGCAGTGAGGTATCTTTCTAGAACAACTTACAGTCCACTGTCACTGCTGAAACACAGACTCTTCCTTCTCTAGAAGGTGTCAAGAAACTCCCACCAAAAATGACCTTTTTTTTAGCCTTCTTTCCAACCTCAGCATGAGCCACAATATCAGAGGTCTCTGTCATTACCCGTATGGCATCTGGGAGTTGGGTGTGGGGAGAGCTTTTCCAGGTGCAGGCCCTGTGGTCACCATAGAATTCAAAATTACCACTCCCAGCGTGCCCTTCATTGCGGTAAAGATGGCTGAGATATCTTTATTAACTGGACCCCGGTCTCCTTAGGAAAAGCCTTGCCTGTATTTACAGAGGATAGTGAGAAAGAGATGGAAGCCTGGGCCCCACGTCCTCTGCTGAGGCAATGCGTTTGTGCCTAGAGCAGCCCATGGCCCTTGCACACTGTGTCACCTCTACCAGGCACCTTCCCATCAGGTCCTTGTATCTTTGTATAGACACCTGTTTTTCTCCCAATGTGTATTCCAGTGAAATTAGAATCTGAAAGTCAGAAAATTCTAAATGTATCTAAGTCAACAGCAATGCATGGATCTTAGGTGAGAGTCATCATTATTATGCGGTAAAATATGGGTGATAGAGAATAACCAAGTGCTGTGCAGGGCCACGGAGGAAGGCAAAGAGATAATCCCTGTCCGTGAAGAATGACAAGCTCCATGGGGCATACAGCCAGGCTCAAATGAATGGCATATGTATGTAAACTGCTTAAGTCTAAAACCAGACCATTGGTAATGATCGGAGTAGCATGGGTCATGTGAGTGTTTCTATCTAAGTGGATATTTGCTCTCGGAGAGATTTATTCTACATTCCCTCTAACATCCTCTGAGTCCATGCCAGTTTGCAAAGCTGTCTCAATATTTACCAATATTTCCAGTATTTGAAATCAATGCCCATGACTCATGTTACATTTAAATAGCTCTTCACAGTTTCAAAACACCTTCCTATACATTATTCTAACTTCCCTGCAAGGTAGGAAAGTCGGGAATTATTGTCTCCAATTTACAGATGAAGAATCTGAGTCTCAGAGAGGTTAAGAGCTTTGCCCAAGGTCACACAGCCAGTAAGTGGCCGAGCTGGGACTCCAGCCCAGAGCTGTCTCCTGCACCCTGATCCCTGGGATCCCTGGAGCAGTGGTGCCATCCTTCCGCAGAGGGGACCCTGCTTCTCCAGTTCCCTCTGTGGGACCTGTCTCCTCCTGCAGGCTGCTGTACCGCTCCATCGACTCCCACACCGAAGACAAGGGTCCCATCTACAATTACCGCGTGGAGATCTCCATCTTCTTCATCATCTACATCATCATCATCGCCTTCTTCATGATGAACATCTTCGTGGGCTTCGTCATCGTCACCTTCCAGGAGCAGGGGGAGCAGGAGTACAAGAACTGTGAGCTGGACAAGAACCAGGTAGCTTCCTAGGAAGGAGCGGAGGGAAGCGGGGCCGGTGGAGGGAATGGCCGCCTGCGCCCACCCCCAGAGGAGCTGCATCAGGGAGAGGCCGTGCAGATACTGAGATCGTCTCTGCTTCTCAGCCAGAGTGGGCTCTCGGTCTTTTTGAGGGACCTGTGCAAAAGAAATGCATATTCCCACAAACCCCAGATCTGGCAAATGTGCTCAGCCAACAAATATCTATGAAGCTTCTACTTAAGGATACTCTGAAAGGTTTTGTCAAAAAAACAAAAAATCTCATGCCGTATCTAGAAGTTAACAAGTTAGAAGGACCCAGTTGGGTCGGCACCATTGATACGGAGGAGAGAGACTAGAACTATGAGGGAGTGAGAGCTTTGGGGTGGGGAACAGGATGGCTTCAGGAAACCACTCTTATATGGTTTCTTAAGTAAAACCCAGAGGACTCTGTGGGAGGTGGGGGCAGGAAAGAGGCTTAAGTGGGAGTGAGATGGCGATGCCAAGTATCGTGACAGGTTCTGGTAGCCGTGGAGAGCTGGCAGTGCTGTGGCTGAGTCAGGAAGCTGTTAGGGTGGGAGGTAGGTGTAGTACCTCAGGTCTGTTCCCCAGCTCGGCTCCCCCTGGGAGGAGTCCGTGGGGAAGCACATCCCTGTCTGTGAATATGGAGTGCCCACGGGAAGGAATGCAGCATGGTGTGCCCCTTGTGACCCTCACCAGGCCAGCCAATCCCCTGTGGGTCTCCAAGTCTACATCTCAGGCGTAGACTCACTCTGCTGGCTGCTGCGTGGACCCTGGATTGAAAGAAGACAGGAAAGAGGGGAGGCCAGTTAGAAAGTGGAAATGAGAGAGGATTAGACCCCGATCTAATATCAGGTTAATGATGGTAGCGATGGAAAGAATAGGAGGAGGTAAAAGCGTTAAGGCTCAGGCACTGGACAGCGGGCCTGAGGGTTTGAGAAGATGCCGGGGAGATTCCCCAGTTCCTGATCTGGAAGCCTGGGCAAAGTGCAGAGAAATGGACTGGCTCTTTGCCAGAGTCCCAAGAATCTAGTTAGCCCAGAATCTTCTTCCCTGTCAGTGAACTGTGTTTTTCCATCTTATGGACACTGGCAAATAAGAAAGATTGATTTAGTTGGCCAGGCTCAGTGGCTCATGCCTATAATACCAGCACTTTGGGAGGCCAAAGTGGGTGGATCACTTGAGGCCAGGAGTTTGAGAACAGCCTGGCCAACATGGCAAAACCCCATCTCTACTAAAAATACAAAAAATTAGCTGGACGTGGTGGCACGTGCCTGTAATCACAGCTACTTGGGAGGCTGAGGCAGGAGAATCACTTGAGCCTGGGAGACAGAGGTTGCAGTGAGCTGAGATCATACCACTGCACTCCAGCCTGCTGGATTTAGGACAAGAAAGAAAAACTGAGGAGAGAAGTACCCAAGGAAGGTCTGTGGCATGGGACGTAATCAGTGAGAAGCCCAGCTGTCAGTGGGTCAGCAAGCACATTCTTAGCGATGCCGACTCCCTGCTGAGGCACATGAAGGCATCACCAGGCGGAGGAAAGGAGATGTATGGTCCCTGCCTAGGACCTTAATATGGGGATTTGACAAGAAGGGGCTCTCTGCTTGATTAAGGGGTCTGTGGAAAAATCGAGACATTTTCCAAATAACATCTCCCACCTGTAAGTGAGCCAGAGCAGCCAATGATTTCTCTGACTTCTGGAGAACCCCACCCCACAGGGTTTCATTCACATCCCACACCTCTCTGCCAGCTCCCCCTACACCCTCCAGGTAACTAACCCCACTCTCCCCATCCTCCACCACCCTCCCAGCGACAGTGTGTGGAATACGCCCTCAAGGCCCGGCCCCTGCGGAGGTATATCCCCAAGAACCAGCACCAGTACAAAGTGTGGTACGTGGTCAACTCCACCTACTTCGAGTACCTGATGTTCGTCCTCATCCTGCTCAACACCATCTGCCTGGCCATGCAGGTCAGTCCAAGGGGGAGCACAGCCACGGTGCTGTAGGAGGGAGGCATGCCATGGGGATGGAAAGCGTAACGGAGCGGCAGGCAGCTCAGTGCATCGCCTTCCTGGCCGCCAAGGGAGGCAGCTGGAGAAAGACGAATGTTCCCTGTCAAGGATGTGCTCCTCTCTGGGCCTTAGGGAAGAATCCATGGCACCCTGGGTTGATCAATGGAGAGAGGGGAGGAGATGGAGAAGGGAGGGAGTGAGCTGGACGCATTCGTTGTTGCCGGGAAGGCGTGGCGTGTGGAGGTGGGTTCTGCATCCACCCGTCTTCAGGGACAGAGCTTGTTCCCAAGCTCTTTTTTTTTTTTTTTTTTTTTTTTTTGAGACGGAGTCTCGCTCTGTGGCCCAGGCTGGAGTGCGGTGGCGGGATCTCAGCTCACTGCAAGCTCCGCCCCCCGGGTTCACGCCATTCTCCTGCCTCAGCCTCCCGAGTAGCTGAGACTACAGGCGCCCGCCACCTCGCCCGGCTAGTTTTTTGTATTTTTTAGTAGAGACGGGGTTTCACCCTGTTAGCCAGGATGGTCTCGATCTCCTGACCTCGTGATCCGCCCGTCTCGGCCTCCCGAAGTGCTGGGATTACAGGCTTGAGCCACCGCGCCCGGCCTCCCAAGCTCTTTTGAGTGCTGAAAGTCTCCATAAAGTCATCACAGCCAACTGGGGAAATGAACACAGATGTGTTCAGAGATGGTAGAGCAGGGAAGAGCTTGGAGTTCTCCTGAGTCCTCCTGACTGCCCACGGAGAGGTGGGTGGCCCTCTGGAGTTGGGTTCGAGGAAGGTCTTGCTGAGACAAGGGCCTCTGAGAAGGGTGGGCAAAAGGTGGGGAGGAGGAGAGACCTCCCTGCCCCGTGTTCACAGCTCCTCCCCTCTCCTGATGCAGCACTACGGCCAGAGCTGCCTGTTCAAAATCGCCATGAACATCCTCAACATGCTCTTCACTGGCCTCTTCACTGTGGAGATGATCCTGAAGCTCATTGCCTTCAAACCCAAGGTAGGCCTCTGAGAAAGACCTTTGATTCACAGGCGTCGGGGTGGACAGGACGGGGAGGTGGGGTGCAGGTATTGAAGGCAGAATCAGGGGAAGAGGGAAAAAGGCATCGGTGAAAGACCATCCCTGCTCCAATGGTCAGTGCTCCAACTCCTCCACCTGCCCAGAGCTGAACCAGGCCAACTCCAGGAAACCCTCTCAGCTCTCGGTGTTGACCCTGGCTGGGATGCACAAGCCGCAGATTCCTCGCTGAGCTGAACCTCTGAGCCTCTCCTGGGAGAGGCAGGTGATGGTCTTTCTCCTATGTCCCATCCTCTAGTACATAACCTGTTATTAGAAGAAACTATGCCCATAGACTGGCAGACCAAACCTCTCCGGGCCCAGCCCCCCAGATCCACTCAGGCCTCTGTTCCACCCTCCTCCCATTTCATCAGCCACACAGACCAACCTCGTATAAAACATTCATCCAGGGCTGGATTTGCTCAGGGCTAGGGCTACAGCCTATGGGCACTCCTGTTCCCTGCCTCAGAGGCTATGGCATTGCTGCTTACACGCTCTGGGGCAGGAAGAACAATTACCTGCAAATTTCTCTGCTTTATTCCTCGTTTGTAAGGACAAGATTAGGCCTGCTCTGCTGAATGAGGCAGGGTCAGAATTCCTGTCCTTTGGATTATCTGTGCCCTTCCTAGCCAGTCACCCCCGCTGTCCTCAGTGGTGGAGGAGCAGACACTGCTGTGAGCCACACCTTCCACCCTGGGCCTCTGTAGATGGATCGGAATCCCCGGCATCCACTGGCCGGGATTCACCACCAGGACAGCTGCTTCTGAGAGAGGCTGTAAGAGCAACTGAGCAGCCCCCAGGCTACCATAACACCTTTTGGAGAAGGATGAGAAGGAACGAGTTCTGGGAGCATCATGCGGTTGCAGACTTGAGACAACCTCTCCAGCTTTACTGAGCTTTCTCCTCCCTGCTTTAGTAGTTTTCCCAGATGCAACACAGATCAACAGGAGGCCAAGAGCTGTATTTTCTATTTTCATTCAAGTTTTTACTGGTCTGAAGATTAACTGGGGGTGGGGGAAGGTCCGGCTTGGCCTTCGAATCCATGTTCGTTGAGGAGATATCCGTAGCCTTCTTTGCATGAATGTTCAACTCACACTTTTGATTCCGTATCATGTGCTACACATATATCATCGCGTGTCATCCTCAAAACGTCCCTGTAAAGTGGGTATTAGCATCCCTCTGTAGAGAGGGGGGAAGTGAGGCTCAAACAATGAAGTGCCCAGTATTAATTGCTCCACTACTAAGAACTGGCAGAACGGAGGCTGGAATCTGGCACCTCTGACTTCACTGTATTTTCCACCACACTGAGGTTAACTAGCATTTTCCCAAGTCAAGTGCTGTGCGGGTATTTTTCAGGAAGAAGGAAACAAGCTTGGAAGGACTTAAAAGACAAGACAGTATTCCTACAATGCAGGTGCTTCTCTCGCTCAAAGAGTGCCTGGGGATCCCGGCTGATTTTCATAGAGTAAGGCTCCTAAAGGACATCCTTTGGTGATAGAACAGTGGTTTCCTGCCTCCTCCAGAGAAGCAAGTACACTCTTTTTCACCTTCCTGTACAAGTCCCATTTAGGAGGACAGATCTTGTCCTGACCTAGAGAGGACCCCAGGGTTGCCCTGACACCTTCCTTAGGGCACACGGTGTCTCTGCCCATGCATGGCCCTGTTCCAAGCCCTGCAGCCCAGGAGCTCTGACAGTTCACCACCCACAGCAGCATGACCAGCTGAGGCTAGGAGTGCAGTCACTGCCGAGCCGAGCCTCGGTCTCGGGTGACATCCTCTCAGTGGGAAAACTGGCGTTGTTTTCATCCAGTGTCATGAGACATATGGTTTAAATATTTCAAAGCCTTGAGTCATTCCACAATTGACTCAGATGTGTTTCTGACGATGTCTGAGGCAGTCTGGAGAGCCTGCAGTGGACTTTCTGAATCATGCCTCCTGAGCACGGGAGACATACGGACAACCTTCCCTGGGAGGTGCCTGAAATTGACACCCGCGGGAGCTTCGGTCTAAAAGGCACTCCACCTAAATCCTGCAAATCAAGGAACAAGCCAGTTTCCTAGGAATTAACCATTGCGGGTGGTCTAAACCATAAAGTGCCTCCTAATTTCCTCTGTCCCTGGTTTTCTATTGTGAGAAGATGGGGCAAGATAACAGAGACTTTTACCCAAGAAGAAAGAGAGCCATCCTGGGGCCATTTGCATTTCACCCTCGTATGGTGTAAAGAGAAAGGAAAATGGATCTTTCCCTGTGAATTTCCCTACAAGGGCTCTGGCAAGAGGGGGATAAAGGTGTCCACCCAGTTGGGAGCATCATGGAGCACAGCTGGGTCCCTGGATTCTTTCTGAGCTATGTTCTTCATTCACAAATAGACTCCAGGAAAAGCAGCTCCAAAATTTTCAGGCAGAAAACCAAACTGGAAAAACCTGAAGCTCTGGAAGAAATATTCAGCTGGATCTGGCCCAAGAACCAGTGGCTTCTAACCATGACCTGAATCCATGACAACTTTCATTTCCGACCATTAACTAGGACTCCGTGCTGCACTTTTTATTTCACTGGCATGCTGTTTGTGTATGACCCAGATGAGCATCAGCATTTGCTGTGAAAGGACGGCTAGGAACCAAGGATGTCAAAGACAGTCAGAAGTTGTCACTGCTTATGTTTCGTCTCTGCAACTGGCTGGTTGGTTGTTCCATCAGCCATTCCACTTACATTCTTGCTTCATTCTTTCATTGTTTTCATGGTCATGGATGTTCCCAATTTCTTCATTTCTGTGTGTTCTCCTCACCACTCCATAGAAAATAAATTTACTCAAGTAAGTCCCTGCCTAAAATCTAACCATCCCACTCCTTAAATTCATACTCTGTTCACACATTTAAAAAAATCACACAAAGAAACTAGGGATCAACATAAACCAGTTTAGATTGAGTTGGTCCCCCACAAAGCCTCAGGAACCTGCGGGGATGGTTTGAAGAGAGTGAGGTGAATCATGGCAGCATTGATTTGAACAGTGAACAGTGATCCAGAAGGACCTCCTTCCATAGAAGGGAGAGGCCACGACCTGGAGATAACCGGATGTCCCCTGCGCCCCACACGATGGTGCAGGACCAGGTTGGGCAGCATGAAAAGTGCTGCCTGGAATATTCTGAAGGTAATTAAATAACTGGATTGTTCTATCATGAACTGATGCTTGTCAGCAAAGACAGGAAAATAAATTTTAAAGATACTCATAGATTTGAACTGAAAAATATGCAATGTCTAGGGAAAAAGTCTAATAGAAATGACTAAGATCTCTACAGAGAAAATGATAAAATTGAAAGGAATTCAAGAAAAGCTGATAACTGAAGACATCTGCCACGTTCCTGAATTGGAAAGCTCAATATTATTAAGGTATCATTTCTCCTCAAACTGATCCATAGGCTCAATACCATTCCAGTTAAAACTCCCAATTGCACTTTGCTGGAGGTGAGAATGGCAGAAGAGGGAGCCGCACCGCAAATCCTTTATGGCCAACAGGATGAGGCTGGGTGGTCCTGAGGCTTCAGCCCCTTTGGGCAGCTCCGACGTCACCAAGGAGGCAATGCACAGGAGCCTGGCGCGGGAAGCAGTGTCTGTCTCAGCTACTCCACTGTCAGCTGCTGTTAGTGGGAGTGATGATGTCACTTAGTTGCCTGAGGTTTGCTGTCGAGGATGTCTCAGCAAGGGCACTGGGGGAGGAGGAGCTGCAGGAGGCAGTGAGTGAGAGGCTGGGCTCCAGGCCTCTCCTCCTCAGTGGAACCTGGTGTGCCCAGGAAGGCAGGGGTTCACCCCATGGAAGGCTCCTAACTCGTCCCCTCCCCACAAGCTCCCACCTGGACCATGGAGGGGTGAAGCAGCTGAGACTCGCCTCTGCCCCTCAGCTGGAGCCAGCCCACACAGGGAGCAGCCGGTACTCACCTCCCTGAGAGGAGGATGCTGGAGAGGCCTTGACCCTGGCAGCTCTCTGGAATCAAAGTCTCAATCTCCCTTTTCGGTTTTCTCCCATCCTGAGAATGGTCCAGAGGGGAGAGTGGACCCAGAGTGAAGGCACTCGTTGGCCCTTCTGATGCCCTGCTTTCTTTCTATTTATTTATTATTATTATTATACTTTAAGTTCTAGGGTACATGTGCATAACGTGCAGGTTTGTTACATATGTATACTTGTGCCATGTTGCTGTGCTGCACCCATCAACTCGTCAGCACCCATCAACTCGTCATTTACATCAGGTATAACTCCCAGTGCAATCCCTCCCCCCTCCCCCCTCCCCATGATAGGCCCCGGTGTGTGATGTTCCCCTTCCCGAGTCCAAGTGATCCCATTGTTCAGTTCCCACCTATGAGTGAGAACATGCGGTGTTTGGTTTTCTGTTCTTGTGATAGTTTGCTGAGAATGATGGTTTCCAGCTGCATCCATGTCCCTACAAAGGACACAAACTCATCCTTTTTTATGGCTGCATAGTATTCCATGGTGTATATGTGCCACATTTTCTTAATCCAATCTGTCACTGATGGACATTTGGGTTGATTCCAAGTCTTTGCTACTGTGAATAGTGCCGCGATGAACATATGTGTGCATGTGTCTTTATAGCAGCATGAGTTATAATCCTTTGGGTATATACCCAGTAATGGGATGGCTGGGTCATATGGTACATCTAGTTCTAGGTCTTTGAGGAATCACCACACTGTTTTCCATAATGGTTGAACTAGTTTACAGTCCCACCAACAGTGCAAAAGTGTTCCTATTTCTCCCTGTTGTTTCCTGACTTTTTAATGATCGCCATTCTAACTGGTGTGAGATGGTATCTCATTGTGGTTTTGATTTGCATTTCTCTGATGGCCAGAGATGACGAGCATTTTTTCATGTGTCTGTTGGCTGTATGCATGTCTTCTTTTGAGAAATGTCTGTTCATATCCTTCGCCCACTTTTT